TGGACAGGAGCTTGTAATCCACACACAGCAGGGACACAGGGCGCCAGTTGCCGATGTCCTGCGGGTTTCCCTTTTTTGGCAGTAGCGTTATTACAGCTCTGCGGCAGGACATCGGCACGGAACCAGAGGCCAGACTCTCATTTAGCACCTCTAGGATGTCATCGGCGAGGATGTCCCAGAACGCCTTGTAAAATTCCTCCCTGCATGCCCATCAAGGCGGCCCTCAGCTCCCCTGGGCTTATTGGCCTGTCAAGCGTTACATTGGTCTCCTCCTGGACCTGAGGAAGCTCACTGCAGAGACCCTCTATCAGTGCCTCCTCCTCCCCGTACTCACTGGTATATAGGGAGGAGAAGAAAGCCACAGCTCGCCTCCTAATCTGGCATGGTTCCACAACCGGCTGCCCTGCGTCACCTAACAGCGAGTGGATCACCCTCCCCTGCCCACTCTTCTTCTCTGGGCCGAAGAAGAAGCTAGAGGGAGTGTCCATCTCTGTGATGGTCTGAAATCGGGACCTGACCAGTGCACCCTGGACTTTAACGTTAAACAGGTCGGCCAGAGCCATTTTTTTCCTTTGAGGACTTCAAAATGTCCTTGATCTCCTGTGGACTCGCTTAAATGTTCTAGTTCCACTATCTCAGTTTCCAGGTCCTTCATAGATCTAGCGATGTCTCTGGTGACGTTGAAGGTGTGCTGTTGACAGAGGAGCCCAATCTCAATCTTCCCGTGGTCCCACCACTGTTTAAGACTGCTAAACTCACTCTTCCTCAGCCTAAAAACACCCCAGAAGTATGCAAAGACCTCTCTAAAATTTTTATCACAAGTTAATACAGAGTTAAAATGCCAATATGCACTTCTAGGTGAAACGTTTCCAATAAAAACATTACATAAAAGCAAAGAATGATCAGTAAAAACAGCAGGGACAATACTGCACACCTTAAAAATATTAAAATGTTGCTTAAAAACGTAAAAACAATCTAACCTGGCTGAGGAGATTCTACCTTCTCTAAAAAAGGACCACGTGTACTGTCGGCAGTCTGCATGCATCCTTCTCCACACATCCACCAGGCCATGAGACTGGACCAGCTGCCTCAGAGCGCGCTGGGAAGCTGGATGTGGCTCTGCGTGATTACGGTCTTTCAAATCATTTTCCGTACAGTTAAAATCCCCCCCCAAAAATAAAAAATCCTCCGGGGCACAGCCATTAAAACATTATCAATTTTTTGTAAAAACAGCTTCCTCTCTGCACCGATTGTTGGAGCATACACATGATAAAACAACAGTAAAAAGGTAAAAAGGGCAAGCGTTGCCTTGACTAAGAACACCTCCCCCGATGATGTTTTTGACCTCCAGTGACAGTGGATTAAAAGACCTGGAGAAGAGAAGCCCACTCCTCCACTGAGGTTGGTGTTGTGGCTTAGGAGGACTTCCCCTTCCATCCCTCATCCAGTCGGCCTCGTTGGTGCTGTCGCTGTGAGTTTCTTGTAAGAAGAGAACATCAATACACTTCAATTTTTTAATTCATACATAGATCTCTCTTCTTCTCATCTCTGGCTCCGTTCACATTTAAACTCCCACTTTAAAGAATTCATTGTGAGTAAGTTTGCACCAAAAATAAAAACCATAAATAATTAAAACACACATTGGAGATTTGGACATTGCCCTTGTTGATGCTCTGCTACTTTCCCTATAGCGCTTCTTAGTCTGTAGCCCTCCTGCTCAGTGAGGCGGACTCTTCCCCCAGCTCATGTAGTGTCTGGCGAAATATAAAACAAATTAAGATCGGGGAAGAAATCTATGACCTCTACACCCTTTTCCCTTTTGTTTTCTTTAAAACATACTTATTTTCTCAGCACTGTACATTTTGTTGTTGGCTGTTACTTAAAAACCCCGTCGGGGCATCGCTGCAGTCCGACAAACCCTCCTACTGTCGCTGTCCTCTGACGGCCTCGGCCCCCGACAGTCTGCGAGTCCTCCCCGCCCTTGCTGGCTTTGGCTTCACTGCCTACGCTTTTCGCCATATTTTTTTCTTTTGGGGGCAAATTTTTGCCCCCCCGCCCCACAGTCGTCGTCGTCGGCGTCCTCCTCCCCTCCTCCTCCTCCTCCTCCTCCTACTCCTCCTCCTCCTCTCTGCTTCTTCCACCTGCTCGCCCACCCCCTTCCACTCGTACTTTTTATCCCCCCTCCCCTCCGCCACCTGTTCTGCCTCTTCTACAGGCTTACTTTGACCCGCTCCTATCTGATCCCCTCCCTCTTCCCCATTCCCACTGTAGCCAAAGCCTCCCCCTACTGCCCGGACACCATCACTATCACCATCACCGTTCACATTCATACTCACACCGTGCAGTCAGCCCAGCAGCACACCACTACCATGCCCCCCCGCTGCCACGCCCCCAACCGGAGACGCGACCGCCGCACCCCTCGCCGGAGACGCAACCGCCGCTCCGGGCCAGGCGGAGCGGGGACTATATGTGCCTATATGTGCATATACAGACCATATAGGTCTCCTGTATTGCTTATATCCACATATAAGCCCTATGTAATACAAGATATGGGTTATACAGCTCATGGCAGGATCTGGTCATTAGTAGCTCATATCTCACTGTCATACTGTCATACATGATGCTTAGCTCATATTATTATCAAAGCATTAATTAGAACTAAGTAAAATAAAAATTCGAAAGAACTTAGTATCACGGGTATATGTGATGTTATGGAATTTAACCATGGCAATTAAGTGAGAGGAGATGGAAAGCTCTGATGGCTACACATTTTCAAATCTTTCTTGTATGAAGATAGTGGTACAGAAGAAAATGTATAACAAAATGGCTCGTGTTTTTATTTTATTTTGTCAATCAAGCCTTTTTTTTGCAAAGTCACTTATTCACATTACAGCTCATACACATCCACACATTCACATTAATGCAGTTTCTAAATGAATATGGCTGAAAGGTCATTAGTCTAAATGTAGCAAAAAAAAAAGTATTCATCATCATCATCCCATATCTATCTGAGCATTTCACTGTGGTTAATTCATTTGAACACAATGTCAACATTTCCGTACACGGTTTTAACTTTTCTTTCCAAAAAGAAGAGCATGCGAGAAGAGAGGAGATGAAAAAAGAGAAAGAAAGAGAGAGGGAGGCATAGAGAGAGCGGGAGACAGGAGGGAGGGATACAGTTAGAGGGAGGTAGGGACACACAGACAGATAAGGAGACAGAAGCATTCCCGCTATGCCACATATGTTTACATGATACCTGTAGCTGGTAGCTTTGTAGCTAGCTTCTAGCATGTTACTTTCGTTTACGTCTTCGCTTAGTTCTTTCTGGAACGGGTGCTTCGTCGTTGACGAGGTACCTTTTGTAACGTACTGGATCCATTCTTTTTCTTTATTTGTTGCTTATTTACCACAGACCGTAAAGCATAATGGCAAGCATGTGTCCACTCTGCTCCGATCGGCCGCTACAGCGTCGCATGCGAATGACGTCATCAACCGCGCTGGGCCGCTTGTTGATGACCTCATTCCCATGCAGGCGCGATCGCGCCGAAAGATAACGGCTGGGACTAAGTATAAAGTATTAAAAATGGAGACATCAGCATTCCGCTATGTCCTACTTGAATGGACTGAGGGTGATGATAGTGGGGCGCATAGTATTTTGACGATGGACTGTGTCCGGAATTTTCAGTTCAAGATTTTTTTGCCTCGACTGAACAAACCGAGAAGCTGGTGGAATGACGAAAAGGCCGCCAACCCTGGCCGGTTCACCGAGCCAAAATTATTGACGTGGCAAGTAAGTCATGTTACATTTCTATTATGTATATCACATTAAATTTTTAAGGGCGGCATGGTGGCGTGGTGGTTAGCACTGTCGCCTCACAGCAAGAAGGTCCTGGGTTCGATTCCGCCCAGAGGCCTTTCTGTGTGGAGTCTGCATGTTCTCCCCGTGTCTGCGTGGGTTCTCTCCGGGTTCTCCGGCTTCCTCCCACAGTCAAAAGACATGCTCTGGGGATCAGGTTAATTGGGGACTTTAAATTGCCCGTAGTTGTGTGAATGGTTGTGTGTCTCTGTGTCCAGCCCTGCGATTGGCTGGCGACCAATCCAGAGTGTACCCTGTCAATCGCCCGAAGTTGGCTGGGATAGACTCCAGCCCCCCCGCGACCCTGTGTGCAGGATAAGCGGTCTGACGATGGATGGATGGACATTAAATTTTGCTCGAACTTAAAGAAGTGTAAAATGGATCTTGTTACCTGACTAGCTTAGTATGCTGGCTGTTAGCTACCTAATTTGCTAATGCTACCTAAGTCTCTTAATTGGGACTAATGTTATGTTTGGTAACGTTAAACATGATTAGACAAACGTTTGCAGTAAACATTTCAATTTTATTGCACCAGAATTTGAAAAACCTCCAAATTAAACTGCGTGAGATCGAGGTGGAGAAAGAGGGCACACAAACAAAACGTCCTCACATCCCAAACTCAAAGTACATTGAGCAGCAGGGGAAGACTGAGAAGGCTTCAAAAAAAAAGGTAACTGACTGCACCAATTGGTGCTTTAGTTCAAGTTATCTCCCCTCTCTTGTTTCCTAATGTGTAGACATGTTTGTAGGTTTGTAATTGTGTCATCTATGATGATTTAATGTGCTTTGACAAGATATATGTGCAAGCTGGTGTAACGCAAGTTAATAAGAGTTGGGCTAAAAGTCAGTCTGTGTCTTTCTGTCGGTTGACAATAAAAAGGGAGGGTCTTCCAAATACAAGCGCCAGGAGGGTGAGAAGCAGGAGGAGGGTCATGACAGACTTTCAAAGAACAAGGTACACTACCAGTCGTCCTGTGTGTGCTGTTACATTACAATACATTCATGGTTCCTCTGTTTCTCCCTCACCCTCCAAAGGTTGCCGTGAAAAAGAAAAATCTTTCTAAATACGAGGAGGAGGAGGAGGAAGTGGATGATGAGGCACGTCATGACACAAAGAACAAGGTACACTATCAGTCTGCATCCAGTGTGTGTTATTACATTGCAATACAGTAAAGATAAGTAAGACTTTTATAATAAAGTGCATTACCAGTAGCTGTTACAAGGTATGACACCAGCACAGTAGGCAACTTTGTCCTCTCTCTTTCTCTCTCCCTCCCAGCGGGCCAGTGAAGAGGAGGAGCATATTGGGGATGAAGACGACAAAGTACCAGCCTCAAAGAAAAAGGTAGCCTAAATGATGACATCCGGTGTGTGGTGCATGTTTGCTAGACAACCAGTTACATATAGCGTAAGTGGGGGGATTTCTGCCGTAGACTTCTTGCCACCTTCCTCTTACATTTCTTGTGAAAATCAGAATCAACCATTTACAAAAAAAGTTATATAACAATTAGCTGTTGTTCTTCTCTGTATTTCTCTTTCTCATAGAGCGCTGCTGAATTTAGAAAGCAACTGGACGAACAGATGTGGGAGAGAAAAAAATTGAACAAATGCAAAGAAATTTGCAGGAGTTGAGAAAAGTTCAGTCTCTCAAAAGTGAAAATGCACATCTGAAAGATGTTCTGGAATGGGAAGCAACCTGAATGGTTCAAAAACGTGATGTGTGTGTATATATAAAAAAAACTCTTGCTTACTCCACCTTCATTTTACCCGCCTTTCATAATAATTTTGAAATTTTACTTTAAGGTGGGAAGCCAACCAGAGGGGACGGGGAGCAGCTGTTTGCCCTGGACAAAATAAAAAAGGCAGCCATTATTGGTGAGTAAATGCATAATGTGTTGAGAAGGGAAAACAAAACTTTTAAGACTTTATAAGTTCACCACTTTAACCATAGCCTACTTGTATCAATGTTTATTAGGCATCAATGGAGATTGCATAAGGTAGGGCACCCATTATTGTTACTGTATCTGCTTAGCACCTATAATACTAATTCATTGCTTGCTCACTTCTTGATCCCACCTTTCCTTTTCTAAAACCACATTTCTGGGGTATTGCGCTTAATGTGCTGCAAGGTGTGTAGTCTTCTATTTTGTAGAACATATAGTGTTGCAAATAACCTCATGGCATATTGTTGTTGTCTGAAGTGTTCATAAATAATAATATTCACCCCTCCTTCACCCTTAATCCCCTCTGTCCTGCCTTATTTTGTCTATCCCGGAAATTGATTTGCTTGATTTTAATGCATACCTTCTTCGAGCATGTGTGTGTGTGTGTGTGTGCCATTCGCTCATTATTGTTCCAATATTATTATATTATCTAATTATTTTTGTCTTCTTTAGATGCTACATTGAAGAAGTGGCCGGCAACCAGCCGAGGGCAGATAGGCACAGCTATAAATTCCAAGAGAGAGAAACATATTTGCTTGATAAAAGACTTCAGTCATCATCTGATTATCAACATTCATGTTGATTCATTTTCTGTTCATCAACTAATTGATTCACTGTTTCAACACTAAATATCCTGAATGTTTGTTCTAAACTCACTGCAGTCCACTTTAGTTCATTAACTCTCATCTGTATCATACTCCAGATTTTGGGCTCAAACTAATTATTCTTGTCTTTGCAGATGATGTAATAACTATTTCTAATGAATCCATGAATTGTTCACACTGTAAAATGTCAGAGAGGCTGATGAAACCTTGGAAGTGCTTCTTCAGTGTGAACAACACTGAGCAGTATTTCATTCATCACCATTTCAAACAGACAAGAGGAAGAAATCGTCTCAGTGAGGAACCTCAACTAGAACATGTTGGACGTCATCTGATAAAACCTGGAATGAAATACTGAAGCATCGACTCCCTGAGCTCAAGTAAAGCTCATCTAATCTAAGCTGGAGTTCTAATCAGGATGAGAGGAAATCTTCTTCATCCTGAACAACACGGAAAAGTATTCATTGTGTTTATATACTTATATTTAGGAACTGGAAGCAGAAAATGTTTCAGTCAAGAAAAGATCTCAGACTGTTTAATTTACTGTGTGTGTGTGTGTGTGTGTGTGTGTGTGTGTGTGTGTGTGTGTGTGTGTATGTGTGTGTTTATGTAATAACATAAAGGATGCAAATATAAACAAAAAGTGTGAAACATAAACAAACCTCCAGTTTGGTTGAAGCGTCGTTTTGCTGTTCCAATGTCGACTTTGAAGACCTGCTGGGCGTTCATAGACTTCTCAGTCTGCCTCTTCCAGTACTGAGGATCGTCCTCTATGACTCTGCTCATCCAGTCCTGTTTGGGTTCTGCTCTCGTGGTGTTACTGTCATAGTGAAACATCTCAACTTCATCCAGCAGCCCAACATTCACAAACTCTGGGAAGTTTGGGACTCCAGAGGACGCAGTGTCGAAATTCTTCAGCGAGTGAGTCACTGGAACCAAAAAGGAATCATTATCAGTTCTGATGTCACACTTTAATTAATCAATAATTATGTTGTTTTCCTGCACACAGAATTAAAAAGAAACACAGAACATCAAAGACACCCTGATAACATCTGCTGTGTTTAACAACTCAATAAATACAGAAATAAATGTTTACTTTGATATTTATGATGTTTCAGCTTTTAAAAACATTATATTCTAAAATGAAATATTAAACAATTCACATATTCAGATCATCATTTGTGTTTCTGACTTTCACGCATAGAAATCAGTTTGTAAAACCAGATTTCTTATTATTGTATAATGTTCCTTATATTGACATTTGATTTGATCGTATACATCAAACTGTTTTATGTCATAAATTGTGACCTCAGACGTTTCGTCTTGTGAGGTTTTAAACAATAACTTTGAAATCTGAGTTTCTTGAAGTGGAGACACAAACAAGTTCAAAGGTCATTTATTTGATCTTTAAATTCTGTTAACATTTTTTATATTCAAATCAAAACGTATTCATTTTGTTGTTGAGATTGTTAAGATTTAAATTGTTTGAGTAAAAGGATTCTCCTTTTTTCATTCAACCATTTAGAAACAAGAAACTAATCTGACCAGTTTGATTTTTATCTCTATATTTAAGTTGAACTATAAAATATAATTGTGAAAAACTAAAGTATAAACAGAGGGACACAGCATTATATCTAAGAAACTATATTAAATCTGTATCTGTTTTAGTTTCTATCGGTATCAGCTGGATGGAAAGAATCCAAGAAGATTAGAATATTATTTAAAATTATCAGCACAGTAAAAATGTTTCACAATCTTCATGTCCTCTGTGTCTGAATTCATATTCATGAGTTTTTATTTCAGCACTGGTCACTGAAATGTTTTGCAGATCTGGCCGAGAAAAAATATATTTCCTGTTAATACATCAAATACTGCAGAGAGATGCTGGACGTTTGAGACTGATTCTGATTAATATAGTCTGAATATTAAATATTTCAGCTGATACTATTTTTAATATAAACACATGACCTAAACTCACTGTAATTCAGATTGATAAGTTGTTGTTTTTAGTAAACGAGATACAAACTAAGAGTTTAAAATCAACTTTTGCTCTTCCGGTTTATTAATGAGCTCAGACTGAGTTTGACATTTCTTCACTTGTCTTTCTTCTCACTCATCAGACAACATGTAAACACCAATATATCTGCGATAAGATAATATCTACAAGTAATATTGATGACTGATTCATCAGCATCAGTGTGACGTCATCAGTGATCTGCCGCGCTACGTCATGCTGCCATGTCCGCTTCAAGAGCGATCCGTCCGTTTAATGTCCCGAAGACAGAGACAGCAGAGTGAGACAAACACGCTTCTGTCCTTCACACAAACTCACGAGAGGAAACACGCGCGCACTTTGACAACATGTGTTACTTTTTACAACTTTGTCTGTCGTCATCGAGAGAGTCCTGAGCTAAACATCAGAGACATCAGAGACACTTCAGCTGATGTCTGCAGCCTATGAAGACACGAAGCGTCTCTTCTTCTACAATCAAACACCTCATTAAACAAAGCGTCAACTCACGTGCTGCAGCGCCGTGAAGGCTCATCATCAGGAGAGACAGAACCGAGATCTCCGCCCCGACAAGTCGCATTTTAACGTCCGCTTGTTTTTAAGGTTTCACTTTCTCTTCAAGGATCAAACGCCGACTGAGGGAGAAGAGGGAGGACCGCTGACTTCAATGTGCTGCTACAACTCGATTCTGACCAATCACAATCCAGCATTTGCTCTACGTCATCAGTAACTAGGCGGAATCAAAGAAAACAGGTTGTTGTAGGAAGAGAACACTTAATTCAGACTGAACACACAACAAGAGAGATGCGGCACACAATCCTTATTCACATATTATTTACATACATATAAAACCACAATCATATGACTTCTTCTAAAACATGTTCGTTTTCTATAAATTATAATAAATTATGACACAAGTGTGTTTCAGTGTCGTCTCTTGTCGTCTTTCAGCTTCCTCCTTTTCATGATTTAATTCATTTACACCAAACTAGAGTCGATGGCAGAATAAGCGGTTCAGTATTACCAAAGAAGATTTGGAAAATTCTTCCTGGGTGGAACCAACAAACTGAGCTCTGCTGCTCCTCACAAGTACATGTTCTAAATATTCAGAGATACTTTGTAAAGCTCCTGAAACACCGTGTAGTCCACCAGGGACGTCCCAGCTCTCTGTTAACAACTATTTAGACCTTTTTAAACTGTAATGTGGCATAAAAATACAACCCTACACATGTGTAAAGTAACATTATTATAAAACCTGAGACTAATGCTGCTGTTATTTACATCAGACGGCTCAAATAAAACCTATAACATGCTAGTTTGAGTTGCCACTGAGCCACACGCCTCCCTCTGAGAACATCTGCATGCTGCATCTTGTGTGCTCACTTGTTTGGACGTGTCAGACACACAAACACGTCTCGCTGTAAAACACACACACAGTTTATCATTTTATCACATGGAAGTGAAAAATATATATGTTTTTCTATTTTGGGCTTTTAATTGTATTATAAATCTAAATTCTATATTCCAGATAGCATTTATTCGCTGGAACAAACAGAAGCAGAGAATCACAACAAATCTTCCCAGAATGCAACCTGATTTATTCTCCCACTTTCTGTCTCTGGCAGTTCATGAGGCCTTTATGGCTGCAGCTCCTTCAGGAGTCGGGACCGGTCCCAGAGCGCCTCTGCTGGACACGAACAGCTCTTCCCTCTGTGCCGCTTCTGGGAATCACCTGATGAGGCCGCTGGGTTGCGTCTTGGTGTCTAGTGTGTGACACACAGTTCTGCCACGATGTGCATATTATGACAACTAGATCTCTGCCTGAAGCTTCTTGCCCGCCTCGCTTTGCCACATTCCTCTGGAGACAAAGAAGATACTTTCTGTGGATAAATAATCAAACATGAGCAGTAATAAGGTGTCCAGCTGCCTCTAAAACTACAATACATTTACTTCTTCCAGACTGCAGACTCAGATCTCGCTGTGTGTCTATTTCTATTGTACACAATACACCAATTGATTCTAACTTCCCTATA